TCAATCGAGAAACGGATAATGATGTCCTTTAGTTTGCTCACATGGACCATGACGGGCAACTTAATGTGACTGGCCTGCAACCGTAGCCAGCCGCGATTAGCATAAGCAGACATACGCCCAACATAAACAATGCAGTAACTACCCCCAGTTCGCATAAACCACCCCAACATAGCACAAGCAAAGCAAACACAAAGCATAAACAATGCACCCCCCAGTGAGCACAGTGAAAAGAATCAGATCCCAGTGAGCAGACTCAAAGCTTAAGCAATGCCCCCCCGAGTTAGCATACCAAGGACCAGCTAGCAAGAGCAAACCAACAGCAATGTATAAACCAACGCCACCCTATTAAGCAAAACCAGCTTGCAGCTATCCTGGGCAATGAATAAACCACCCCCACACTCAGCATGAACCATCCCCCAATGAGAGTAAGCAACACGTAGGCAACTCATTAACAATCCTTAAACCACCCTCATCGAGCATAATCAACGACCAACCTGCATCATCAAATCATCAGCCCGAAAGCAAAGCGTACGGAACGCACGCCCCACGCGTCATCATTGTGATCGTCTCCCTGGGCACGAGTCACGCAAACGCATGCGAATTCCAACTGGCACAACATAATGCAGCGGGCACGTCATGCATGTAATTCGTTCCTTGTGTGGCGGCACACCACGTAATTTCGTAATACGCATGTAATTCTTAATGCGAGTACCCTGTGGCACTCCCCCGAGGTCCATGCGCTCTGGACCTCCATGGAGCCGCATACGAAAACTTCTCCGCGTGGTGTAAGCTCCTATAGGTGGACGAGAGAGCTCCCTTATGCAAATTGCACGACATGCAAGCTAGGATCAAGCTCATATAGCATTGTTACGCGCGCAGTCGCACAATGGCCACCTTGCGCGCTGCGGTGTCAGAAGCAAAAGTCATTAGGATGGCGAAGGCCTATGACACCACTTTTCGCAAATACGCGCATCATTTTCGAAGGACCACGCGCGCGTGGTACCGCCTTGTGAGCACAGCCGTATTAGAAAAACAATATGTATGCATAAGGAGGCTCTCAACCACCGATATCAGTTTAAACGACGCGGTGGAAGTTTTAGCGAAGACCAAAGACAAGTCTAATTCGTATGCACGTCGGGGAGCGCCGCAGGTGCGCTTCTCCTGGGAAGACCGTAGACGCGTGCCTCCCCAATCTGCAATGCCTCGTAGCCGGTGGCCTGTGTCTGGTGTGCGGCGTCTGGCGTCCCGTGTGCGAGGACTAGCGCTGGGTGTCCAATGTGCTGTGTCTGGTGTCCAGTGTCCGGTGTCCGGCTTCCAGTGTCCAGTCACTGGCGTACGCTCTAGGGTGTCTGGTGTGCGGTGTTCGGTCCACTCTCTACTACCATAGAAGGACCCAGCAGGAGTGGAGGAACCGTTGCATCCAATGGGCGACATACAGCGTACATGATTTCTGATGCAACAGTGTCGAATATGCGACAATGTGATATGTATACGAACTGCAAAAAGCCCCTGCGAGCCCTCGTGCATATCACTCCAACGAAGACGCGGAAAACGAAGCGAAAACAAAAATGTTAGTTTGAAAACGGAGAACGAATGACGCCAGATTGAAAATAGTCAATTAGAACAGCGATGACGAATAACGAAGTGCCGCGGCGGTAAATCAGTAATTAAGAAAGCGAAGACGAAACAACATCCGGACAGAAAAACTCTGAGTTTCGATTTCGTGTCGCTCGGGTAATATCGACGGGTCGCGGCACAGAGTGCTTCGCTGGCACGGTAGAAGATTTGCCGCAGGGGGCTGGACAACGATTCAGCAAACTTGTCCTCTGAATCTACATGAACAACAACAGAGGCCGACGAGACGACGCACAACACCTTGCAAACTGCTTAGATCTTTTGCACCCAAATGGCTGGCTCAAAAAAAACCGGGGATTCCGCTGGCGGGGCCATGTTGCATCCTCGGAAGACCTTGTCTGTCCCGTCGAGGCCCCATCTGCGTCGAATCCGTGCCGAATCCGTGCCGGCCTCGCCGGCTCCGTGTCGAATCCGTGCCGAATCCGCGTCGAGTCTGCGCCAAGTCCGCGTCGAGTCCGCATCGAGCCCGCGTCGACCTCAAGAAAAGACACCAATTTGGGGGACAGTTGCGAGGCGGGAATTTTTCCATATCCACCGCCTGGGAACCGACGTCCTGGTGTCCCAGAGGGCGGTGGATCTGGATATATTTTGGCCCCTGGAGGCCCGAAAATGCCCATATCCACCGCCTGCCGAGGTCCCCGAAAATTGACCCTCCAGGCGGTGGTCATGCATAAATTCCCGCCTCGGAACAGTCGAGGCCCCCCGAAGATGCAGCGCAGCCACCGGCGATGTTTCCTTCCTCACACGTCCACGGGCCTTCCGCCGCTCGTCCTGCAAAAAGGGCGCGGGGTCATCCCCGCAGCATCGTCGACGTCGCGGCCCTCTCCTCCTCCTCCTCCTCTTCCTCCTCCTCCTCCTCTCCGCAGGGGGCCAAAAGGGGCAAGCAAGCCTCCAACGCTGTCCCGAAGTAGCACCGCCATGAAAGCGCCGCACGCGAGCGTCTTTTTTCACGCAGCTCAAAGCAGCACGGTCGCAGTCGCGGCCTTCTCTGGAACGTCTTGAGCGTCCAGAGGGGCCATTGGGCCAAGAGCCTCCAACAGTTTCCCAAATGAGCACCGTCATGAAAGCGCCGCATGCGAACGTCTTGTCTAATGCAACTAAAAATCAGCACGACAATGGACTGGGCCACTCAAGCCTAGATTGAACGGAAATTATCAGTATCAGTAAGGTACAGGTTAACAATCAGAAGGATAACGGGAGCAAGCCATTCAGTGGAAATGGCAACAGCAACATGTTGATCAAATGCAATAGAGATGGGAAAGTGCATGCCTCGAAAGGGCTTCCCGTCGCATTATGAACGTTGTTATTTCAGGACGGTGGGGTGGGCATTTGTCACCACCGAACATGAAGGGCGGACGGCCGCGAGCCCAGCGATGTCGCAAGAGGTCAAATGGGGAACCACTGGGCATGCAGAACTTAGATCGTTCTCGGCCAGGGTCGTGTAGTTCGCACATGGAACTAGATCGCCATCCGGGGGGGCATTCGACTGTGCCCATGCCGAAGGCTTCCGACGGCTCAAAATCTAAGTCAACAGCTTTTTCTGCTGACAAGAAGGGCGACAAAGAGTGACACCAATGCCCGGCATACGTCATCAACACCTCAGGACCTGCAAACACTCTCACCAAGCCTCCTGCACTTTGTCATTTCAAGGCTGTGGAATAGGCACTGGTCAGAAGAGCCGAACCTCACGAGAGCAAGACGGCTAGCATAGCGATTCCGCAGGAGATGGCGTGGTGATCCACTGGGCATGCAGAACTTATCTCAATCTCAATCGTAGTCGTGGTGTCGTTCACACACGGCACTGAATCGACATCCGACGGGCACTCGATTGTGCCCATGCTGAGAGATTCCGACGGCTGGTAATTCCACTCAAGGGCCTTGCTCTGCTGATCGCAGGTGACGGCGCCGCCCACCCGTGCTGCCATCGCGTCGTCGAAGGCTCCGGTTATGAACGCAGGCACCTCGCCATACTCCTTTCGGCGGCGAGCGAGGGGGGGAAGGTGCCTTCTCAGAAGGTGGCAGGACCTCTCAGAAGCTCTGGCGCCTTCTGATTTTTTTTCTATGTCTTCGGGGGAGGCTTAGAAAACTGTTCAGAAGGCCGGGGGACTTCCGAGCCTTCTGAGAAGGCCTTCTCCTTCTCATTTCCCCCCCCGCTCGCCGCCGATCCTTGGCGAGCTTGCTGTTGAACCAGAACTCTCCATACGTTGTCCACCGGCATATGCCTAGGGAGCCCACAAAGGACGCACGCGCCCAGCTATGCACACGAGCACGGCCCCTCGATCCGCGAGGCCGGCCTCCGTGGTGCGAACCTCCGCGCCGCGCGTGCTCTCGAAACCAGCGTGGGATTCGCGCACGTGCGCGTGCGTCTCTCCGTCCCGAGATGCCGTCGGACGTCGGGGTCGGCGTCGGAGCTGCCGTGGGAGCGGGCGTGGGGCTGCGCGTCGGAGGAGCGGGCGTGGGGCTGCCCGTCGGCAGCGGAGTCGGCCCCTGACCCTCGGCCCCCTCTCTCTCTGGGAGCGCAAGGAGTGGCTGCTGCGTTTGTGACTACCTACCAGACCACCCCAACCCAACCCGAAGACCCCAATTTCGGGTTGGGGGGGGTACGGGCTCCATACGTGTTTTTTCGATGTTCCCCGACACCCCCCAACTGGAAATGGATGGCAAATTGAGGCCTTCGGGTTGGATTGGGGTGGTTTGGTGGGTGGTGAGTTTGGGTCGGGCATGTCCCCCGGCAGGCGGGTTCTGGGCGAAGAACGAATCGTAGTCAAACGAATACCCCCCAAATCTCAAACACAGTCAAGACATCGTCCCCAGACTATTGTCTAGTATTTTTGAATAGTCCTCCTGTGGAGGGGCAGGCCCGACTTAAGTTTAGGTCGGGCATGCCCTCCTACAGGCGGGTGTTGGAAGACAAAGAAAACAGAGCCAAACAGCAGGCAACAAGAGTCAAAACAGGGCACGACAGATCGTCCCCAGACTGTATAATTTTTGTTGCTCTCGACGATCCCTCCTGCAGGGATGGGGGGGACCCGCCCGCCTTCAGTCTAGGAGCGCGGGAAGTCCAACGTTACGTACGCGTGTGTGCGCGGTTTGCGTGCGCGTTCATCCGCCTGCGCCGCATGCTCCTCGGCTCCAGCTGTCGCCCTGGCTCCGCGCTCTCTCTGGCCCTCCCTGCGCCGGCCCGCCGGCCCTGCGCTGAATCCGCGGCAGCAGCAAGACTTACAATTCCACGCTGATCTCCCTCCTCCTCCTCCTCCTCCTCCTCCTCCTCCTCCGCCTCCTCCTCCTCCTCCTCCTCCTCCTCCTCCTCCTCCTCCCACTCCATCTTCCTCGTCCTCCTCCTCCTCCTCCTCAACCTACTCCTCATTCTTCTCCTCGTGCCCGGCGGCAAGGGGTCGGAGGTCCTGCATGCTCTCGCTTGGACGCTGTCAGGCGGCAATGCCGGCTATCGTCAATCCGCTATCGTCCGTCGCGAGGCAGTCGACTCAAGGACACAGTCTGGCGGCAAGGCCGGCGGTCCTGCACACTCTTACTTGTTCTGACTGTGTGTTTCCTGTGGGCGCTGCCTGGCGGCGGCGCTAAATCGCGAGCGTTCATTGATGCTGCGCGCTGACCCCCGTCGAGAGGCAGATGCCTCAAGGACGTTGCCCAGCGGCGAGGCCTGGCGGTCCTGCACGCGCTCACCTCGAACCGCAACGAAGGTTCGTTCCCTTTTGGACGCTGGCTGGCGGCAGTGCCAGCCATCGTGCATCCGCAAATTGTGCGCGACTACCGCCGTCGCGAGGCTGTTGCCGCAGGGACACAGCCCGCCGGCAAGGTCGGCGGTCATGCATATTCTCACGTCTAGCCGATGACCAAGGTGTGTGTGTGTGTGTTCCTTTTCGGACACTGCCTGGCGGCAAAGCCTGCTTTCGTGCATGCCCAGATCATGCACGCTTGCCCCCGTTGCGAGGCAGACACAGAGCGACGGCAAGGCCAGGGGCGGTCCTGCACTATTTCGTGTCTCCCTGGTTCTCACGGGTCCTCCTCTTGGACGCTGCCTAGCGGCAGTGCCAGCTTACGAGCACTCGCTGATTCCGCACGCTTGCCCCGTCGCGAGGCAGATGCCTGGAGGACACAGCCAGGCCGCACTCGTGGACGGAATGCGAAAGTCTTTAGTTGCTGTTCGGTCCTGTCGATCCGGGCTCAGTTGCCTGCCGTTTGCCCGGACGACGCTGCACTTCTTCACCTCCCCCCTACGCGCCGCGCAAAAGACAGAACGGAACAGCCCAGCTGTGGAAGTCATAAACGCCGCCAACCGACAGCGGTTGGCGGCTCGCAGATGGTCTCGCCCCTTGCCTTCGGGCCTGCCCTGTGACACAGCCAGAGGTCGTGGTCTTGGGCGTTCTTCGTCTTGCCTTTGCTTCTCAGAGGGCGTGCCTGCCCCCCCCAACATGCCGTGCGCGTGTTACAAATGCAGCGGGGATGCCGCCCCACGCGCTTTGAGGAGGCACAGGGCGTGCGCCAGAGGAACAGCTGCACTAATCTCTCCGCCCTGGTGATCTCCCACCAGGATCGGGGATCCCTTGGCCTTGGTCCATGCAGACCCGATGCAGGCCTGCGTCAGTCGGGCCGCGCAGGATCCTGCAGAGTCCTGCAGGATCATGCAGGATCCTGCGCCCCGGCCTGGGCCAGTGCACCCCTGGCCCTGCAGGATCCTGCAGGATCCGGCGCTCTGACTTGCGGGTCCCAGGAATATGCACCACCACCACGTCGATACCTCCTCCCTCCTCTACCCTCTCCTTCCTCTCCTCTTCCTTGGGAGAGGTAGGGGGTGGTGGTGGTGGTGGTGGTGGTGGTGGTGGTGGTGGTGGTGGTGGTGGTGGTGGTGGTGGTGGTGGTGGTGGTGGCGGTGGTGGTGGTGGTGGTGGTGGTGGTGTATATGTTTGCGCCCCGTATGACTGACCCCCGTTTGCAGACCCCCGTCTCGTGATCTGACCGTCGCGCGCGAGGCCCATCCGCGATCGCACGGGAACGCGCCGTCCGCCAGAGGCCCCCACGCAGTGTTACTCCGTGGCAGAATGGGGAGCTCTGACGATCCTCCAGCGGGTTCCCAGCCCGACCTCCGATCACAACCCTGAGTAAGATAGCTTACGGTCGACCCGTATCATAAGGATGCGCGGTAAGGGAGCAAGGGCCTTGGAGACCCATGACGACGTTTTTCGAACGAGGTTGGCCAGCGAAAGTCGCTAAGGATTGCCTCGACACAACCCTGAGTAAAATAGCTTACTCAGAAAAAAAAGAAGAACACGCCAACAATTTATGCTTATGGCGCTTTTCTTATTTGATTACTGCCCTGCATGTTTTTACATCAGCGGGATCGTGCTAGCATGGCAGACGACACGCGTTTCCCCCAACGATGAAAATCTATGCCATCGATCTACCTCGTGGGCCATTCTGTGACCGACTTGGGGCCTCTTGGGGCACTCCGGAAGCCTTCCTGCTGCTTAGGGAAATTCCAACAGGATGCTCCACGCTGCTGGTCTCACTTGTGGGCCATCAAGTAACCGCCCTGGGACCTTCTTGCGGCCTTCCTGCGACGCTGATTCGCACCGTCGGGCCACCGTGCCATTGCGGGTGTTGACTCGAGGCAACTGGACCACTCCTCCTTTTCCTTGTCATCCTGCTCCTCATTCTTCTCCTCCTCCTCCTCCTCATCCCCCTCCTCTTCCTCCTCCTCCTCATTATCATTGTCATCATCATCATCATCATCATCATCATCATCATCATCATCATCATCATCATCATCATCATCATCATCATCATCATCATCATCATCATCATCATCATCATCATTATCATCATCATCATCCCTCTTCTCCTCAATAATCTCCTCCTCCTTCCACGCCGAGGAGAGCCCCGTTTGTCGAAGACAGCTGGATTTCTCGCGCCGCTGCTTCAGTCACGCCGACCTGCCGCCTTACTTCAACGGCGCGACGCAACGCGCGCGCGCGCGCCGCTGCCGAGCGAAAAGCGTGTGCGTGTGCTTACGTGCGTGCGTGCGCGTATTTGTCTGTCTGTGTGTGTGCTTGTGTGTGTGTGTGCTTGTGTGTGTGTGTGTGTGTGTGTGTGTGTGTGTGTGTGTGTGTGTGTGTGTGTGTGTGCGAAGCAGTGCGGCCTGGCGATTGCACCCCATCGGCCGAGTCGGAGGGATGTCACTCGTACCTTGGACATCGAGGTCAAAACGTCCGACAAAGACTAGAAGGGCGCTCGAACGTGGTCTACCAAGGCCTGTGCAGCCCTGCGGACAGCATATAGGAAGCGGTTTCTGGCAGCCTCGGAATGGAGAGGGCCAGGGTCAGGAGCCGTGCGCACAACATTGTACATGTGATGGGCACGTACAATTCGCTCTACCTCTTCAAAAGACGGTGCCCCAGCGAGGCCTAGACGAGTGGCAATGCACGCAGAGGGGGGCTAGTCTGGGTGGTATACAAGGCCACACAAAACTGGAAAACGAACGTAATGAGACATGTCATCGCGGGAGCCAACACAAAATTCGCCGGCCCAGCGGGCCAGAGGCGTGCTAAGATCTCCGGCAACTGCTCAACAATACTTCTAGTTCGCGCGCGCGGGGCGGGCCCTGGGGGTCCCCGGACGAAGAATACCCCGGCAAGGTCCCGGCGAGGTCCCGGCAGACTCCCGGCAGACTCCCGGCAAGGTCCCTTTTCGGAGCCCAGAAGGGCTCCAAACGGTCCAAGAAAGGCCCGAGAAGCCCTCCGGACGGTCCAAGAGAGCGGGGAGACGCCGAAATATCACTCCCAAGCGCCTGCGATGGCCTCAAGACGGCCCAACAGGCCTTCAAGACGCCCCAAGAGGTCGCTAAGCGGCGCCCCAAGAGGGCTCCCACAAGCAAAAATCGTCCCACTCCCTTGGGAAAACGTACACTTTTAACATATCCGCCTCTTCGTCTTTCACACCTTTCAAGGCGGTCCAAGAGGCCCCCAAGATCACCCCAAGACGGCCCGAGAGACCCTCTAGACCGCTCAAAGACGGCCCAAGAGCGCTCCAAGAAGGCCCAAGAAACCCACAAGAACTCTTTTTCGGAGCCCAGGAGGGCTCCAAAGCGGTCCAAGAGGGGCCCGAGAAGCCCTCCAGACGGCCCAAAAGAGCCGGGAGACGCCGACATATCACTCCCAAACGCCTACGATGGCCTCAAGACGGCCCAACAGGCCTTCAAGACGCCCCAAGAGGTCCCTAAGAGGCCCCTAATCGGCGTCCCAAAAGGGCTCCCACTAGCAAACATCGTCCCACCTTTCAAGGCGGTCCAAGAGGCCCCCAAGATCACCCCAAGACGGCCCGAGAGACCCTCTAGACCGCTCAAAGACGGCCCAAGAGCGCTCGAAGAAGGCCCAAGAAACCCACAAGAACTCTTTTTCGGAGCCCAGGAGGGCTCCAAATCGGTCCAAGAGGGGCCCGAAAAGCCCTCCAGACGGTCCAAGAGAGCCGGG